AATGTAAAGCTAATGTTTTCCCATGTAAGTGGTCACATAATTCACAATAAAACATTTTAATGGTATTTTAATTGAAATTGCTTTGAATTTGCAAATCATCATGGAGATAATTTATATGAATAGAGGATATTTAGATTTTCTGTAAATTCTTTCAATAATAAAGATACTTACTGTTTATATCAAGTAACTTTGATGTCACATTAGTTAAAATTCTCTAGCTAATCAAAAATGGTGTGCTGCTCAAATCCATCAGGGCCTCCACTGGAACAGATTTGATAGTCTGTTTCTATAAAGATTTATAGCCTTAGAACTCTATTGAGCAGTTCTGTTCCACCACTCATCTATCAGTTTGTAACAGTTTGGTGGCTTGCATATTGCTCTGATTCTGGAAGCTATGCCACTGGTATTTTAAATACCAGCAGGTTCAAACATGGTAGACAGATTTCAGCAGAGCTTCCAAACAAGAGAAGGATGAAGGAGAGGCGGTCTACTTCTGAATGTTTAGTCACTGAAAACTTTATAAATAGTGGTATAACATCATCAGCTGTAATGCTGGAAGATGAGCCCCTCAAGTTGGAAGACGCTCAAAATACAACTGGGGAAGAGCTGCCTCCTCAAAGTACAGTTGACTGTCATGACTGAAATGGATTAAAGGTTTCAGGACCATCATTTGCTGATGGGTCACAACACAAAATTAGGAAAAACAGCTGCAAACATCTGTTAATGATTGGAACACAGCAGCAATAGATTCAAACTAACAATTGTGATGATGGAGCAAAACCAGGCAGTGTGTTTCATTCTGTTGTACATAGAGTAGTTATGAGTTGGAACCAACTCAATAACACATGATAACAAAAACCACAGCAACAACTCTGCCCATAGGGTTGCTATGAATCGGAATCAGCTCAATGACTGTGGATTTGGTTTTAGTTTTATTATTTCTGTCAGTTGACTCGATGGCACTTATCAAGAACAACAAGAATGAGTCTTACACATTCTTTGTTTAGATTTAATTTTTATTGTAATTATAAATGGTATCTTAGCTTGAAGTCTGGCAACATGGATCTTATTCTGATAATTTATTGATAGATTATTATTTAAGGGGAGTGGTATTTCTGTAAACAGTCATATTGTAAAAAAAAAATAATTTTGTTTTGTCTCTCTCTAATCTTTTTATCTTTTATTATCTTTATTTGTCTTAAAATGCTAACAGGGCCTTGCTATCAAATGAAGTTGTATGTACTGTAGCTTTTTGGTAGATAACTATGTCATAAAGAAAATAAAGAATACCCACAGTAAGCCCTTTTACCCACACATACGGAGATAACCACTGTTAAAAAGTGTTGGTAAATATCTCTTCAGAGGTCAGAGACATTTTATAGAGTACTTTACATTCTAAACTAAAGAGCAGGAAAGAAAGAGTACCACACAAAAACTATACACTTAGCTTACAGGTAGTGAGCATGCCCAAAAAGAGAGGGAGAAAAAGCGCATAATACAAAAAATTTACACCTAGCTCAACAGTGAGCATATTTGTCTTCATAGAAATGATAACATGTAGTTTGTTGTGTGTATGTGTGTTTTTTGCTTTTTTTTTTTTTAACTTCTTATTGTGAATTGAGTGAAGGTTTACAGAGCAGATCATCAGTTTTAATTCAGCAAATCATATGCTTTGTTTGATTGAATTCCCCTCCATGTACCATCAGTTAACTGTTATGGTGTGTTCTGGAGCCAGTTCCAACGCATAGCGACCCTGCATAGAGTTTCCGAGGCTGTAAATCTTTACAGAAGCAGATAGCCTCATTTTTCTCCCATGGGGCAGTTGGTAATTTCAAACTGCTGACCTTGAGGTTAGCAGCCCGACATAACCACTATGCAACCAGAACTCCTTTTAGCTAACATTATTTACCACTGTTCACTATTACATTCTTTCCTGTGTCTCCTGTTACCTTCATCTTTCCTCTGCTAACCTACCTTTTATTGTATATTGCCTGCCTTGTCACCCTTGTTAACATGTGTCTGCACTCTAGTCCAAGAATAATTTGTTTCTCCCCTACTGCCCGTAACCATCATTGATTGTTTCTTTAATTAAGAAAACCTTATCTTAGCTTTTTACAACATTGGTGTCAACAATATTTGTTCTTTTGTGATTGACTAATTTCATACAGCGTAACGTCTTCCAAGTTCAATCATATTGTGAAGTGCTTCCAAATTCATCATTCTTCTTCAGCGTTGCATAGTATCCCATTGTATGTATGTACCAAAGTTTGTTTAACCATTCTTCTCTGATGGACATTTTGTCTGTATACATATTATTGATGAGACTCTTATATACAATATATTGAAGGATCCTGTTTTCTTTCATTCTGTTCTGTCTCTTGACTGTGTGTCTAATCCCTTTACATTCAATATAATTATCAATAGGTATGAAGTGATTCCTGTCATTTTGCTGTATGATTTGTGTATGTGTGTGTGTGGTGCTGGTGATTTTTTTGTTCCATATAATTTTCTGCACTGAGCTCATTTTGTTTGTGGGTTTTCTTTTTATTTTCGTTTTGGTGGTGGTGGTGTTAAGTACCACCAAACTGGTTCTGAATCATAGCGACCCTGTATATATTTCCAAAAGGAGCCGTTTTAACCATTGACCTTGTGGTTCAAACAGAACTTGTGGTCCAGTTCATTATCCTGCAGTGCTACACCAGGACTCCTCTGTTGTATTAATATATACTAAATTGTTCTATTTTCTGCTTTTTTAAATTTGATGTGCAGGTTATCAGTTTTCAGGGTAAATTAAAATTTTTCATTATTTAAAAGTCTTTTATCTTGAAATCTGCTTTACTTCCTTACCATTTGAAAATTCTGTATCTACACTATTCCCTCTTTTTGCTTTTGTAGTTGACGTCATTATAAATTGATGTCTCTGGTTCTCTGTTTTCAGTCTTATTTTAGATGCTTCTATATCTGGATTGATTTCTGGGTGGTGTTGTCATGTCTGTAAAGCTCAGGTTGTTGTTTGCTGTTGTTGGTTCTCAGTCAACAAAACACCCTTTAGAAATTTTTGTGAAGTTGGTCTGGTCATTTACAGATTTCTTTAATTTCTGTTTATCAGAAACATCCTAATGTCACCATCATACTTGCAAGACAGCTTTGATTCTTGTTTAGCAGTTTTTTCTTGCAGAGTTTTATATATGTCACCCCATTGCTTTCTTGCCTGCATGGTTTCTGCTGAGAAATCAGAGCTTAGGCTTTTTGGTTCTTCTTTATAGGTAATATGAGATTTATCTTCAAGCTCTTAATTTGGGCTTCCAATTGCTTTGCACTTACTCCTTTGCCCTTTCAATGTATTGTCTGTTTCTTAAATTTTAGGATTAATCTTCTGGATATATCATTGTATATTTTGTATTACTTCAAGATTTGCAGCAAGTATTTTGACTGTTTGTTCTTTTAGTATTTTCCTGAATTTTCTAGTTTTTTTTCTGTGTTCTACTTGCTTTCCTCAATCTTTCTGTGAATCCTTTGAAGGTACCTAAATATCATTGTTGTGAATTCTTTTTCAGTTATTTCCATTACCTTTTCTTCCTCAGAAATGTTTTCCATTTCTGCATTTTACTCATTTGTTTGAGCATTCTCTCATTTCTTTATGTGAGCTAAAATAGTCTGTTGGCTTTGTGGCATTGTGGGGTTGTTGTATTTGTATTTAATTGATGATTGTATGTTGATTTGTTCTTAGGTTCTTACCAACTTCTCCTTGCCTGTTGCCTGTGTGAATCTGCTTTGCCAGGTGACCTTTTGTTTGCCAGAGCTGATCCCAAGATGGCCGTGCTGCATATGGCCGGCTATTCACCTGTCTACCACTCTTGCCGTCCCTGCTCAGCTTCTCCTCCCAGCAAGCACTCAATTCACTTCTCTAACCTTTCCTCTGAAGTTCAGGGTTACCAAGTTTTCATGTTTGTCTATTTCATTTGTTCTCTTGTGTCTTTGTTATAAAGGGTCCCTGTAGTGTATCTACTTAGTCCACCATCTTACTGAAAGTTATCTGTATTGATTTTATATTTTATTGTATCCCTAGTGCCTTTATATGATACATAGTGCATCAAAAGAGTTCCTGAGTGACGCAAACAGTTAACCTTTTATCAAACAGTTGGTAGTTCAAAGGCACTTTGAAAGAAAGGCCTGATAATCAACTTCCAAAATGTTGTAGCCATTAAAATCCTGTGGAGTGTAATTATACTCTGTAATACATGGGCTAACCATGAGTTAGAATCAACTCAACAGAAGCAGCTGGTTTGGTTTGGTTTTAGCACATAAAAGCAGTCAATACATATATGTTTAAAAAATGAGTGATTTGCTAGCTTTTCTGAAGTTGTTCTAGTTCCAAAACCCAAGGGTAGATGAACATGATGATTGTTAGAAAACCACCAACACAGCTTGGTAACAATGGGCAGATGCCCAGTGGTGTTACTACCAATAGCTTGAATTAGCACCAACATTGTTAAATAAATGCCATTGTCTTCTACAGTCTATGTGCCTAGGCATGGGAAGCTTTCACTTGAATAGATTAACAGTTTAGGGTGTATAGAAGACTATGCTTAAGAAAGAATATGTATCCTTCTGACCTGCCTAGGCTCTCTGGCTCTCTCTGTCCTCTTACAGGTCTTGTCTTATGGACAAGAATACTTTTCTGCACATGTTACATAAATACTTACAAAGGATCATTTTAATTAAATATATAGTTAATTATCATGTGACCTAAGAAGAAATTTCTAATTTTTAAAAGAATAACATTGGTCTGTATTATATGTGTTTTCCTTCTTAGTTTCTGCCACTGCCTTCTACAAAGCACAACCTGTAATTCAGTTCATGTGTGAAGTTCTTGACATTCATAACATTGATGAACAACCAAGACCTCTGACTGATTCTCATCGGGTAAAATTCACCAAAGAGATAAAAGGTGAGTTAATTAGCATTTGGAACAACCTAACTATAAATGCATGGTTGTAACAAACTTTTATTGAAGTATTACTTTGTAATTAAACTGTATTCATATCATATCACTAGTAAAATATAGATAGATCAATTGTAAAATGTTACTTTAAATCTTAGCTAGTTTTTGAATGAAAGAAAAGCTAAGTAATGGAATTAGTATGATACCAGCTGATTTTTTTTTTTTAACACTCCCTTGCTAGGTGAAAGGAAAATACTTTTATAATATAGTTAAAAGTTGGAAGCTTATTCCAAAACCTTTCAGAGCTAGAATCATTCTTTGAGCATATTCTAATATAATAACTACTTTGATTTTCTGAAATGATAGGTTTATTTATTTTATCCTTTTAAAAATTTATAGATATTGAGTTAGCTTATTTCATATGTTATTCTAGAATTGAAACTTAATGTACATTCTAGAGATGACCATTAATCCTGCTTACTTTTCTTGGTTGCTAAAGTTTGTACAGTGGTGTTTCATCATATATATGCTTAATTTACATAGATTTATCTATACATAGTCTCTGAGAAAGAATAATAATTTAGTAATGTTCTACAAGTTATAGTTTATACATATTTATTCCCTATATATATACATTTTTTTCTGTGCATTTAAACATACAGTTCTATACTCAAACCCACATATACTGTACTTTTCAGCAATTCAAAGGATCTTTTAAGGGTAATTTTACATATAATTCTTGCCTTAGTATAACTTTAAAACTTAATCTTCATGTATGATGTGACTCCACTGTATTTAGTTTTTTATTATTAAGCGTGGACAGAAATTAGATATTCTTTCTAATTTAAGTAGTACACATTCTATGACATTAATTGTCAGATCTTAAATAGCAAGAATTAACTATGCTGTTTTATTTTAAGATTTTACCTATTTGTTGCAGATAATTTTCAGCTTATGGTTTGAATGAAGCATTCAAGTTTGTTCACTGATCATCTTTCAGATTCCCAAAATCAATTAGAGTAGTTGAATACATCCCTGCTTGCTCCAGCAATCATTCATTCTTTGCCATTCTGTAACCAGGAGAAAGATAGTCATTGTAATAAAACATTAAAAGGAAATCCCCTCCTTTGAGAATAGGCATCCATTTTTCTCAAGTTGCTTAAGTACCAAAATAAGAAACTGTTAAATATAACTGTTTTGCAACCATACCATTATCCTTTCATAATCTGTAATAACTGCACAATTAGCATTGTCTGGAGGTAGTGCATTACCTATACCATTAATATGTGATCATCTAAATGCCATGGTTTCCAGTGGAGTTGCTGCTTAGTTACCACCTCTGATATCATGAAATCACTTACATTATTTTGCGGTAACTATGCAATCAACTCATATCACCACTCTATCACAGAAAATACAAGATGTACAGAACAAGGATTCAGCTGCTGCCCGAAGAGCATGGACTCGATCTTAACTTCAACTGCTCAGGGGCCCAAAGAAATGACTGAAAAAATGACTAGAAAGCATTATAAAGTTGATGTTAGAGTGAAGGTAAAGCCAAGTTTATAGGTTAAATATTTAATTTCTTATAGCCAAAATTTTTTTCTGGTTGGATGGAGGGTTTGGGGAGGGACCTGGGCAGAAAATTATTTAGTCTTTTTTTTTTTTTTTTAATTTAAGCTTTTTGCTAATCCCTGGATTTTGTTATAGTTCTTAGGTGCCTATGGCCCTAGATTTGGTGTAGAAAAAATCTGGGTTGAATTTAATTAGCATACTGATGATTTTTTTCTCCCATTCAACCTCTTGAAGGCCTTTTTTAAAGAGGGTTTTTGAAAGTACATCATGTATTCTTATCACAGTACTTGAGAGAATTCAAGTTATGTGTTCTGTGCTATATATTTGGGTTTAATTTTTAGTTGGCATGAGGAAATTTACAATAGCTGTTAAATATTGATACAAGAGTGCTATAGTGAATAGATTTTCTTAGTATATTAATTTTATTCTAATCAAACTTTCTCTTAATGTTTCATAACTTTAGTTAAGATTTTTTTTTTTTTTGGGTCCAGTAGTTAAGGAAAAGAAATATTGGAGGAAATGTATTATAAAAGCACCATATAGGTATAAAAATACCAATTTATTTTTGGTTAAACTTTTCTTAGCAGGGTTGCAGAACCTTAATATTCAAGAGAAGATGAAAATAAATTATTAAGTGGTGTCAATAACAGAAATTTATTATAAATTTTTCTATTGTGTTTCCCCCCAAATATAATATTTTTACATCTTACTTATTACGTAAGTTAATATTCCTTCTTATAAGGACTTCTATGATAGAATTTTTATTCCTTCAGTCCTTTATAATATAGAAGCATAGTAAACTCTCTAAATAATATGAAATTTTGATTTTTAAACATAGTTACTAATGAAAAACTACTTCTCACTGATTCAGTTAGGAATGCTCCTCAAGAAAAACTCATCTGAGTCTGGAATAAAGATATTGTGTCCATATAATATCTTAATTTATGCTGCTATATAAAAAAGAAAATACCATTAAGTATGTGTGAACTTTGTATTTAATACTACAATTAGTAATTAAATAGGAATATAAATTACATTACAGCAAGACTTCTGTCCTTAGCACTGTTGGCATTTTGGGCTGGATAATTCTTTGTTGTAGGGATAAGGGCTGCCGAATGCATTATTGGATGCTTAGCAGAATCCCTGACCTCCATCTGCTAGATGCTAATAGTGTCCCTGAATCATGATAATCAAAAATTCTCCTAGGGAGCAAAATTGCCATCAGTTGATAACCACTAAGTTGTTGTTGTTGTTGTGTGCCGTCATCTAGTCGGTTCTAAGTCATGTTGCTGTTGTTAAGTGCCACCAAGTTGCTTCCCACCCACAGTGACCCTGTATAGGGTTTCCGAGGAGCAGCTGGTAAGTTCAAACCATTGACCTTGTGGATCAAGTGAACCTTGCAGTCCAGTGCATTATCTCACAGTTCCACACCAGGACCCTGTATAGGGTTTCCAAGAGTGGCTGGAGGTTTGAACTGTTGTCCTTGTGGCTAGAGCAGGTAGCAGTCCAGTGCTTATTCTACTGAACTATAGAATTCACAAACGTAAAAGGGAAGTAAAACGAAGAATAATAGCCATAAATTCTGTCAAGGACTTGAAAGTTGCCCTCTGTGTAATATAGAAGCATAGTAAACCACTGTGTCTGTTAACTCTTCCTTAGGTTGCTCCAAGATTGCACTGTCCAATACTAGCCATATGTAGCTAATTTAATTTAAACTAAAAATAAATAAAATCATAAATTCACTTTCTTAGTCAACCACATGTTCTTAGAGAGTACTGTTTTAGCATGGATATAGAACATTCTGTCATTTTAAATTTTGTTAGATAAGCACTGCTTAAGAAAATTGATCCAAAGACTTTAAGCCTATGGTTTAAGGCACATTGTTTCACTTTCTAGAGTAGACCTAAGAACCAGTAGAACCTACAACCATAGGCTAAATTATATAGAATTATATTTTTCTTAGAATTTATTGCTTACATCAGATTCTCAAAGGGGTCAGTCAACATAAAAGAGCGGTGTAAAGGGTCACTATATTATGCTTCAGTAAACTTTCACTCCACTTCTGATCTATGGACCTAGGCTTTTTTTTTTTTTCTCCCTGCTATATAAATCTTTGAAAGACTTTCTTTGTAAGCTTTATGAAATTTTGATCTTCAACTCGTATGTGATTACTGGACTTTTCAAATGTCACATACTTAAAAGGTTATAGAATATCTTGAGAATTACTGCAACTCTTACTTCATTTATCCTTCCCTTTCCCGGCATGAACACCTAAATTTGTTATAAACATGGGTTTTTATTAATGAAGTACTTTGTTTTTTAATCTACAGGCTTTACAAATTTAACTCTATATTTTTAATATATAGGGTTGGACAGAGTAGAGAAAAGGTTTGGAGCTAGATCTATCATGAACATGACCGTTATTAGGAATGTTATATTAAATCATACCACTGCCTATGTTACAGAGTTTCTATCTGTTCAAAATGTTTTTGAGTTTTGATGGTAGTGGATAGGCTTTATAAGTATAAATATTTTTATATGTAATGATTCTATAACCTCAGTTTTTCTTGTTGGGAACAGGTCTGAAGGTTGAAGTGACTCATTGTGGAACAATGAGACGGAAATACCGTGTTTGTAATGTAACAAGAAGACCTGCCAGTCATCAAACGTAAGAAAAACTGGTGTTTGTCAGAGTAGAGATGATGCAAGGCACCTTGCTCTCTCTAGTGAGTGAATTGGGAGTTTTGCTGGCTCATAAGGAGATAAGAGTCGATAATAATGGTTTTTTTTTTTTTTCTCCCCAGCTTTCCTTTGCAGTTAGAAAACGGCCAAACTGTGGAGAGAACAGTAGCACAGTATTTCAGAGAAAAGTATACTCTTCAGCTGAAGTACCCACATCTTCCTTGTCTGCAAGTGGGGCAGGAGCAGAAACATACTTACCTTCCACTAGAAGTAATGCTTTTAGACTACTTAATATCCTCTTAGTCATCTTTTTTTTGGGGTCTTTGATGGCCTGTAACCTACCTTATACTCTCTCACTCTCCTTAATAAATGTAAAAGAATATAATACAGGTTATTGGCCATAAAAGACCCCAAACTGGTTTTGCAATGTACTTTATTCTAAATCTTCTGTGCTGAAACAATATGAAAACAGATTTCTTTGTCATCCTACCACTCTAAAGTCATCACTATTAGCATTTTGCTGTGCTACTTTTCAGTCTTTATATCTAGAGCACATTTGACCTAATTATCATGGTGGTGGTTGTGTGCCATGGAGTCAGTTGTGACACATAGCAACCCTGTATAGGGTTTCCAAGGTTGTGATTCTGTACGGGAGCAGAAAGCCTCATCTTTCTCCACAGAGCGGCTGGTAGATTCAAACTGCTGACCTTAGGGTTAGCAGCCCAACATGTAATCTACCGTGCTACCAGGGCTCCATAAATTATAATCAAACTGTAAAGCAGTTTTGTTTACTACTTTTTTACTTAACATGATATAAAAATAAGAGATTTAATGAAGTAGATTTAAAATTTTTATTTCACATACAATTGACATTGAGTAATAGCTAGAAAAATAAAAGATAAATACATCTAGTACAAAACTTTTTTTCATTGTAGGTGTGTAATATTGTGGCAGGGCAGCGGTGTATCAAGAAGCTAACGGACAATCAGACCTCCACTATGATCAAGGCAACAGCAAGATCTGCACCAGATAGACAAGAGGAAATTAGCCGATTGGTTAGTGCTTAACCATACAAACAGGAATTTAAAACATACTAGGATAAGCTACTGAAGAAGCATATCCTGTAGACTATACTTGATTATCATTTCATAGACTGTCAGAATTAAAAGGGATAATGAAAACAATCTATCAGTGTTCTGGGGGTAGAACTCAATGGGTTCTATGAGAAGGATTTCTTTAATTAGATCCAGAAACAGATTATCACGCACTAATGCTTCAGTTTAGTAAATTGGAACTGTATGACCTTCCACCTGAAAGAAAAGAGAAAATGTCAAGGTAGTATGACTGCCAGTAGTGAGAGGTCTTAATTAATACTTCGTCTAAGATTACCCAGCTCTCAGTTTCAGACTAGCAACTATATGGCATGTGTAAAGACAATTCCAACCAGGTTGGAGGACCTACCTAACAAGCTTTTTTTGTATTTTCTATGCTATTTCATTGTTCTAAATAATAGAGAATAGGAAAAGTTACAAATACCACTTTATAAAATTGATGGAAGAAAGCAAAATAAAAAATAAAAGCGTACTTGGATCATGACTACCATAAACTCTCTCCTTGAAAACCATGTAAATTTCCAAACTAAAGATAACAATTAAAGTCTAGATAAATGAATATTCTCTATAACAACTTAAAAGCACAAAAATTTTTTAAAGATTGTTGGAGATAGGTTGCAGAGCTGGCTCTTTAATTTTGTAAACCAATTATATGGGGCAGGAGGGGGGAACCTTTTTTTTTCCTTGTACCTTTATAAAGAATGTTGTTAAGTGCCGTCAAATCAGTTCCAATTCATAGCAACCCTATATCGGGTTTCCAAGTAGGGCGTGGCAAATCCAACTTTGTGGATCAAACCAACCTTGTGGTCCAGTGCTTTCTTTATCCCACAGTGCCACACCAGTTACTACAGTATATTTAATCAGGAAGATCAATGTAGATCTCATCCAAGACTTTTTCTACGGCTCTTCTATGACAAGAGTTGATACACTTTCCTGAAACCTTTTAGAGACTAGAACCTCTCCCTAGGAATAAGCCTAACTGGCAACGTGGCACTGTAGGATAAGCACTGGACTGTTAACCACAAAGTTAGAGGTTTAAACCCCCTAGCCACCCCTCAGAAACCCTATACAGGGTCACTGTGAGTCAGAACCAACTCGACAGCACGCAGCAACAACAACAAGGAATGTAAAAGACTAATACAAGGAAAACCATAAAACACTACTGCAAGCTGCTCATACGGATCTCCATAAATGGAGAAACGTTCCATGTGCATGAATTGGAAAACTTAACATTGTGGAAATGGCAATACTACCAAAGCAATGTGTAGATATAATATAATCCTGATCCAAATCCCAACAACATTTTTTAATGAAATGGAAAGAAACTCTGAATAGCTAAAGAGGAAGAAGAAAGTAGGAGGCTTCATCCTTCCTGACCTCAAAACTTATTACATAGCTACAGTAATAAAAACACCCTGCTTACTGGTTCAATGTCAGACACAGACCAATGAAGTAAAATTGAGACCCAAAAGTAAATCCATCCACCTACTGATTAGAGTTCATTCAATGGGAAATAAACATTCTCTTTTAACAAATGGTACTGGCAAAATTGGATATTCATTTTCAGAAAAATGAAACCAGTCCATACCTCACACCAGCAGAAAACTGACTCAAAGTAGATCAAAGACATAAATGTTAAGGCTGAAAATGTAAAGTTCCTAAAAAATAATATAGGGGCAAAATGAAGGGACCTAATTTGAAGCATAAATACCCTGTCAAACATAACTAAAATTGCATGAACAATAGAAGATAAACAACTAAAATCTCCTAAAAGTGAAAATTTTAGGCTCATCAAAGACTACCAAGAGAATAAAATAAATAAATAAAAAGAACCTACAGATTGAGGAAAAAAATCTTTGGCAGCCACATATCTTGTAAGGCTCAAATCTCTAAATTATATATATTTAAAACAGCAGCAAAAAAGACAATCCAGTAAATATAGAATAAAATGAGGCAGAGAACATAACAGATACTTCACCAAAGAGGCTACAAGTACATGGAAAAGATGCTAATAATCATTAGCTGTTAGAGATATAAATCAAAAGTACAATGAAATGCCATCTCATGACAATGATCAAAAAAACAGACAATAACAAATGCTGGCGAGGTTGTGGGAAGATTGAACTCTTAAACATTGCTGGTACAATTGTAAATTGGTATAACAACTATGGAGAAAGGTATGGTGCTTCCTTAAAAAACTAGAAATAGGCGTTCAGCGCAGCTGCCATCTTGCAGTAATCCCCCAAGATGACAAACACAAAGGGAAAGTGGCGGGGTACCCGCTATGTGTTCTCCAGGCCTTTCAGAAAACATGGGGTTGTTCCTTTGGCCATATACATGCGAATCTACAAGAAAGGTGATATTGTGGACATCAAGGGAATGGGCACAGTTCAAAAGGCATGCCCCACAAATGTTACCACGGCAAACCCAGAAGAGTCTGCAATGTGACCCAGCATGCTGTCAGAATTGTGTGAACAAGCAAGTCAAGGGCAAGATTCTTGCCAAGAGAATTAATGTGCACATTGAGCATATTAAGCACTCTAAGAGCCGAGACAGCTTCCTGAAGTGAGTGAAGGAAAATGATCAGAAAAAGAAGGAAGCCAAAGAGAAAGGGACCTGGGTTCAGCTGAAGGGCCAGCCTGCTCCCCCCAGAGAGGTGTACTTTATGAGAACCAATGGAAAGGAGCCTGAGCTGCTAGAACCTATTCCCTATGAATTCATGGCATAACAGGAATGAAATAAAGATGTCTGAAGTGTACAAAAAGACACAAAAACTAGAAATAGAACTACAGTATCATCCAGTAATCCCACTCCTAGAGATAAATGTCCAAGGGATGTAGGAACAGTGATGTGAAAAGACATATACATGCCCGTGTTCTTTGCAGCATTACTCAAAATAGCAAAATGATGGAAACAACCTAAGTACCAGTCAACAAATAAGTGGTTAAACAAATTGTGGGTATTATACAACTATTAAGAATAATGAGGAATCTGTGAAACAGAACATGTATGAATCTGTAGGACATTATACTGAGTGAAATAAGTCCATCACAAAAGGACAAATAGTGTATGGTCCCACAATTATAAAAAGTCAAGAATAGATATTCACACAAAAAGCAACATTGTTTATGATGACCAGGGATAGAGGAGAGAGGAAGGAGGGATAACTTTCTAGATAGAATTACTATCTATTATTATTTCTGGTGGTAAGAAAGGCATTACCAAATGAGGTACAAGACAAGGGGGCAATTTTGGTAAATGCTTTAACATACACAGTTTTGCAGCAACCAAAAATTATGTATGTTATTATGTAGGTAGATATGGATATGATGCTGTAGGATAAGCACTGGATTGCAAGATTGATTTGAACCACAAGATAAGCAGTTCAGACTCACCAGCCACTCCTCAGAAACCCTAATCAGAGTCATTATGAGTCAGAACTGACTTGACGGCTCTTAACAAGTGTTAAGGAAGGTATATGTATAAATAAATGAACATATTGGTGTATCTGCTGTTGTTCGTAAGTGCCATTGAATAGGCTTTGATCCATAGCAACCCTGAATAAGATTTTTAAGGAATGGCTAGTGGGTTTCTGCGGAAGAAAGATGAGGCTTTCTGCTCCCATAAGGATTTACAGCCTCAGAAACCCTGTGCAGGGTCACTATGGGTTGGAACCAACTCAACAGCACTTAACAACAACAGTAAGTGGGTTTGAACTATCTATCTTATGGTTAACATTCCAGTTTTTATCCCACAGCACCACACCAGGTCTCCATCTATAGGCATATGTATATACATGATTGTGTGTGCTATATATGCAAGAGTAAGTCGAAAGTATTATTACAACATCATAGACAACTTTGTTAAACAAAAATATCAAAATGTGAAGCTATTATTTCTCAACATATCTTCCATCTAGGTCTATGGATTTCTAAACATATATAGAGCTAGATGGGAAGGCAGTTTTTCCATCTCTCCAGTCCTTCCCTGAAGAATTCTTCTCTTTTTGGTTTATACCACATCAATATGGCAGCTATGGCATCCTCAGAGGACTCAAATCATGTTCCTTTTATTATTTTTTTTCTTAAATGTTTTATTGTAAATTATGTGATAGTTTACATGGGAGAACATTAATTTTACATTCATTCTATCATATATCGTCTCATTGCCATGGTTACA